CAGGAAGAGATTGGAGGGGCTGAATCACCTCTATCGCATCGAGATAAAACTGTATAAACACACATATATAAAAAAAGAATGAATACTATTTCTTCCTATCAATGTCATGCACTACCATTCAAAAGTTTGGGGTCAGTAAGATTTTTTTTTTTTTAAGCAATTAATACTTTTATTCAGCAAGGATGCATTAAATTGATCACAAGTGACAGTAAAGACTTAAATTGTTACTCTTTTTATATAAATAAATAAAAGCTGCTCTTTTGAACTTTCTATCCATCAAAGAATCCTGTATCATGGTTTTCACAAAAATATTAAGCACTGACAATAAGAAATGTTTCTTAAGCACCAAATTTAGCACATTAGAATGACTTTATGACTTTATATTTGAAAATGTAATAAATTAACTTTAAATACATAATAGTATTTTTAATATTAAATATAATACTGTATTATTATATATTTTCTGTATTTTTGATCAAATAAATGCAGCATTGGTGAGCAAGAGATTTCTTTCAAAAACATTTAAAAAAAAATCTTACAGACGCCAAACGTTTGAATAGTAATGTACATTAAAGACAAAACATCTGACCTTTGACTTACCCATTGCTGAAGAGGAGAAAACTTTCCAGTGAGAGCCTTTAAAACCTCTTGACTAGCAATACCACCCACCGCTGCCGCTAGAGGAGAGAGACATCCCCTCGCACAGCGCGACACGCTCCTCACCAGCTCCTGGTTTATGCATACCTGACGACACACACATTTACATTAAAAGACGGAAGATTGAAGATGTGCACAACAGGAAGTGACCATGTAAATGAGTGCTTGTGCAAAACTGACTTTGTTTTTAAGTGTTCTGCTGATCTCCTCTGTGAACTTCAGGAGCAGCTCAGCATCCTGCAAACAACTACACAGAGCAGAGGAAAATAATCCAGCACAATGTTACTCATCCATGTCAATCACAATCAGAGAGAGAGAGCTAAATGAAAGATGAAACAAGCAGTTTGGCTGTTCACACTTAATGAGAAATGACACAGACAATATTTGATGTTTTAAGTACAGTTATGAGAAGCCCTATTTTAAACCATTACAATTTCACAGTGGACTATTCAGCACAACGCTGCATAAAAAGAAAGAAATGATGCACTGAAATGAAATTTTTATTTGAAACAGAATTTAAAGTTTTCATTTGGCTGAAAACTGAAACTGAAAATAAAGTTTCAGTAATTAAATTTAGGTAATTGAACTTAGTATGCTGTTCAGGGTGCTGCGTTCACAGGTTTGAGGCATCTCTCAGATAAGCAAACTTCATTTGATAAAATCTATCGTCTTTTATCATCATATACACTTTTTTTGTCTTCACAAAAACCCTTCAAAATAACAGTTTGGGTTAAGTTAAAGAAGAATTGTGACAGAAATACATTACTACTGTATAGTAGAATGTACTTCTCAAAGTACTAAAAATAATACTATTAAATTAATAAAACAATTATTAAGCTTAAGAAATATGCAATTTTTCATCAATGTTTTAAATTTAACAGTAAATCTCGGTTGTGCAGCAAATTGTTTCATAAAAAAAAGTGTTAATTAAACAAACAAAAAAATTAAATTTTCATTTGATTATATTTTAAAAGTTAAAAGAAACTTAATGTTTTATGCCTTATTTTAGGAAAAGTAGGGGGGGGGGGGGATAATAAAACTGATTTCATTGGGCCCTAAAAATGCAATTATTGTTAATATTTTTTCATAAATTGTATGTTTGGCTATTGGCTATGATTTCAATTAATTAGACGTGCTTTTTGATTACCAAAAATAGTATTTAAAAAACAGAATTTGGAAAAATATTAAACAGAAAAACACTGATTTGGAAAAGCAGATTTCATAGGGCCCTACTTATTCATGCTGTGTGTGCAAAACAGACGCTGACACGGTCAAAATTAATCATTTGAGAAGTGCTGTTCCGGTCCAAAACTCTTTTGGCTGTTGAAATTTTAGTGCATCACTAATAGAAATAAACCCTCTTGCACTCAATCATTGCTTAATCATGCCACGTCTAATGTAGGACAAAACCTATTCAAAAAATGGTGATCTGCTGCTGGTAAAGCAGCTCACTCGGGTTTGAAACACTGCCTAAAAGATGAAAAATGTATTTACCCAATGTTGGGGAGTCTAGCATACTGTTCCAGGAAAGCATCCAAAGCTAACATGATTGTATGGAGCTGCAGAGGGGCCTGATTGGATAAGGACACATTTATTAAGTTAAAAAGTGACTGATTCTCATGTCAATAATGATGAATGGACTCTATATTTCTGACCTCTGGTTTACTAAAGTCTGGAGTAAGGAGCCGGGGGTCAGATAACTGCTGCTCCATCGTCTCCTACACAGACCGTAGAGAAAACAGTTAATCATTGTACTTCACCAATATTAAACAGACCAACTGAAGGGGGTGTTAACATACAAAGGTGAAGATTTTGGGCATCTTGACCAGGCGGAAGATTCCTGCATGAGCGTACGGCTGGAATGATGAGGTATCACCAATCGCAAAACTGTAGGGAGACAGAACTAAATACACACACAGAGTTAAATATGTAAGTAGAGTACATCACTGTGCATGATGACTGTAGAGTTTGTGTTTATACCTGTAACTTGGTGAGTGGTACCATTGAGTTCACTCATGCCACTGATCTCTTTAAAACACACACTCTGCCCAGTCTGGAGGCCATGTGTTCGGCTGTCCATACATGTCACAACACCAGGATTCCCCTGCGATTGGATGTCAAGCAGGATGTTAAAAAGCAACCCAAATCACAGAACTGAGAGTTTCAGCTAAAGTGCAGCATTCAGACTAAATGTGACAAAAGTAATGATCAAATGCCAAGAGGAATGTGAAGGTTTGACAGTTCAGCGCTCTCATTACCTGGCTGATGTTTTGGATGAAGAGCTCTTTTGGTTCTTCTCCCGTAGGGTCCGACACCTCAAACGCCTCCCCAAAATCACAGAACACTCGCGAGCAGATCCCAAACACATCACAGCCAATGAACTGCACCAAAAACGCATTTTCAAGCATCCAAACAGAGTAATATCTATATGCAAGTATGTCTGGGAATGACCGTACCTTAATAGGAGGTTGCTGAGAGTGGCAGAAATAGTCGATTCGTTTCTGTAAGCTCAGCTTTGTTCCTGTTAACACTACACACTGAAGAAATAAACACAAGAATAGAGACATTAAGTATGATATGAACGTACAGAATAATGTAAATAATAATGATCCGATTGGAATGAAGTTAAATAATATAAAATGTTTGTTGCACTTTAAATTTTGCTGTTGTCAGCGGAGACCAACCTGGTATCTCTTTAGGAAGCTGAGGTCAGTGTTTTCATCCAGGACATCAGTGGCCACACTGACCTGAACGTATGGGTTTAACTCAGCCACTCGAGAATGGACAGCCTCCACCCTAATAGAAAAAAAAAATCATTATGATTACTGCACATCTTCATAGAAATAAAGAATTAGAGTCTTATAAGGCCACAGAGACACACATGAGTTCATTAGAGGTGGACTATATATAGATCTTATAAAATTCATTTTATATCAAGGTATATACAGTATATATATAGTCACAGTTTAGATGCTTTTGTTCTAGAAAAGATAATAAAAATAGGGACTGAATTCAGTCTGCGTGAAACAAAAGTAACCATAGTGCACCTTTTCTTCTGGCTATGCACATCCTCCTCTCTGATGAAGAAGTTGGTGCCAAGATCCCAAACTTCACATCGCTTACAGTCATGAAAAGTGACTGCCTACAAACACACATGTGCAAAACCTCATAAGACAGTCATAATACAACTAAAAAAATTAACTGATCAGCAAATATTCCAAGTCGCCTATGACAATAAAAAATGAGTTCACAATACCCTATATATAATAGTTCAAAATTAACATTAACAAAACATTATACAAAAAAATAATAAATTACAACAGTTATGTCACATTGTAATAGTATTTCACAATATTACTGTTTTTTTTTTTGTTTTTTTATCAAACAAAGCGGCCTTGGTGAGCAGAAGAGACTTCTTTCAAAGACAGTAAAGAAATCGTATCAACCTTAATACACAAGTGTATTGCCAAATAAACAAAAAATCAACCATGATATTTTGTGTATGCCAATGAAATTAATTATTAATTCCATAAAAGTGTATATAGAAAAAACAGAAATAAACGATATCTAGACATTTATCTTACCTTCACTCCTGCCAGAACAATGTTTTTTGCTGCACAACATGAGAGATTTTTGATTAGAACTTGGTGTGAAGTACAGCACTCAACAAAAATGACAAAAATGGTTTAAAGGGGTCACATATGATGCTTTTTTAAAGATCATTATTTTGTGTATTTGCTTCAACACTAACTGCGGTTACTGAAACCACGGCTTCTTTCTTTGCGTGCACATTTGGGCCGCATTATGCAAATATTTCCACATAGTGAGGTAGATATGTGGGGGCGTGTTAGAACGAGCCGTTTTAGGGGGGCGTGGCAGAGTCTTAACTTTGATAAAGAATTATCTCTTTGGATTTGAGACTTTAGTCTTTGCAACTTCAGGGATCTTATCTATGCACAATCAGCTTGTAACACTCCAAAGAGAAAGGCAAACATGAAATCGCATCATATGACCCCTTTAATATAGACTGAAGATGATGTAGATGGTATTGAATTTATAACTCATAGGATATGAAAGCAGGGAGCTTACTGGAGGAAAAACTGAAGAAATACATATACATAAATCACTGACATTTCAGATCATGATATTCTAGAAACTAGGTATTTTCTACACCCTCATACTAATGTATAGCCATTTATAAAGAGATCGTAAAAGCTTGTAAACAGGAAAACAATGAAATACAAATATGAATACGAAAAAAGGACTGGAGTGGTGTATGGACGGCACAGCTCACCTATTTCCACTCCAAGGGCTCCCATTCCACTGAGAAACACAGCGGACTGGGCCATCTGCTGCATAGCACTGTCCCCCAGCACATACCGCTGCCGACTACACACACAAACACACAGTTAGGAGCAGGAACGCTGGACTGAATCTGATACTTAATGAATCAGATTCTGTCTCAAAGTGTTTCAGCTTCAGTATTTACAGTGTACCTGTACAGAGAGTCATCTATGTCCATGGAGTCGGCCATAGTGGGAAGGGGAGAGGGGGTGTCCAGGTGTTCCTCTGTAAATTCTGTAGGAGAGATAAAGAGCATCTATTCACTAACGATGACAGCAGAGCAGAGAAACACAATCTGAGGCATTCAGTCCAGAAATCTGAATTTACAGCTGTCAGAGATCTGGGTATGTCATGCATGTTAATTCTCAGACACTTTTGACAGAAAAAAAAACAAAAAACAGTAGTCATACATCAACCTGACCTTCTCACAAACACCTCAGGACTGGCATCTCAGTTGTTCTTTAAACCAAACTGTAAACGGTTCGACTGATTCATTCAAAAGAACCGATTCAAAAGAACGATTCATTTAAAAATCTATATGCCTGCATGGCATTTTAGAACAAAAATATATTCACAATAGAAACCATAACTTTTAAGACTGTATTCATTTCAATGAGTGTTCCAGGTTTGGAAAACAATTTTAACATTCCCTGATGAGCATTCACACATCTAACGCGTATAATTTCCTCCATTTAAAGACTCTAAATGAATATCTAAAACACTAAATAAACCACATCATCACAAAAACATCTCGTATTTAATCTGAGAACGTTAAACATGTCCTAAAAGCATTACTTTATCATATTGCTTACTCATATCCATATATCATTAGCACACCGGCTAACTGAGCTGATCAGTAAAATAGCCTATCTGCTTAATTAGAAACAGGTCAACCGAATCTGCAGGCACGACCCTGCTTAATGCGCCTTTAGGGCAGCGGTGGCTTGTATTCAGTGAGTCGAGGTTTAAAGTAATGTCTGTAGTAAGGAAAAAGAGCTGTGAATTAGCTACCTGTCAATGCGCGAGAGGAACTGCACACTTCTTCTACTGCGCATGCGCGTGCGGTCATGGGACGCTGTCAACCGCCACCTCGTGGAATGGATTACTCGCCTATCCTCCTGAGAACCATTGAAAAGTTAAAAAGGTTTTGTGAATTTAGTTTTTTTTTTTTATGTCTTTACATTGGTTGGAGCATAAGAAACAAAAAAAAATTAAAAAAAATGTAATCATATTTTATATTTATAGGCAAAAACAATGATTTATTTTTTTCATTCACCAATCAGTTTTTAGGTTTCAGACTATTTTTAACCAAATATTGTCCAAAGATGATTCTCAACTATGTTATGAAGGACTATATAACATAATGATTTGATATATTTATATTTTATAATTTAATGAATTTAATATTTATAATAAATGTACTTTATGGAATATGTGTGTAAAATGTCCATAAATTGATATTCCCATTTTATTCAATGTTTCTACACACTGCATCTAATTTGCATATTAATGTGTTCTTGGGGCAAGCCATAATGAAAAAAGGGGGAGGAATAACTTGGCAACATTTTCATAAGAATATCTCATATTTCATAGGAATATTGATCTATTATAATTTCTTGTTGTGTCTCCCCAAAATGCCTGGTTAACATGATGTTTGTCCTGGTGTCCTCTACAGAAGACATGTATGAAAATTATGCCCCGTTTTGTAACAAAAACCGATTTGAAACCCCATAACATTTAAAAAATGTTTTAGTTAAGACAAACAATTTGAAAATTAGTCCGATTTAAATAATTACAAAATAGTATCATTATGTGCTAAATTTGATCCTTCTGTCAATATCAGTCATATTTAAAGAACAAGGAGAAAGTGTGTTTATGATCAAACCTCCAAACATTTGATATCTCTAAAAAGCCCATGCTCTGTCCAGGACATCCAGACTTAAAACTGTGGCAGGCAGTCTCAGAGAAATTCACTAAAATATAATGTCCTCTACAGAGGGCACAAGTCTATGCCTGGGTCCCAGGAGGATAATATTGCAGGGATTTTAAAATAGCACCTGCTTCATACTTGGACATTAAGAAAAGTTATCTTTGTAGGTAGACGTGTCTCCCTCTGCTTGTGATGACTTGGAATTCCAAAAGGAATCGGATTTACGTGTTTAGATTTAGGTCAGATGTCCAGATATTGAAATATGTATAAACACTTTTTGTAATTTTTTACTTAGATGTCACACTGGATTTAACAGTTACACCTCAAGCTGCAATGGCAATCATGTAAAACCATTCATTCATATTTCCCTTAAATTTAGGTATAAACCAGCATTAGAAAAAAAAAACTGTAGAGCTTTTGGTGTCTGAAAATTCCTCTTGATGTCAAGCATTTCTAAAAGCAAGAAGAGTCAAAAGACACTGAACAGATATTATTCTGACCAAAGGTATTAATTACATTCCTAAACTGCTCACCACAACCATAATGCTGCAAAGCATGGAGCTTTATAAAACTCAATAGAAAAAACAATAAACATGCATCAACGTAGGGAAAAGCAGAAAATGAGTAAAAGAATGTGAAGATTTAGAAGGAAATATTAATGCATCTTATAAAAATATATAAATAGTACAATTATTTTACAGAGAAATACATTTCATAATCTTTGTTTCTAATCTATTTCTTCTGTAGTCAGGTTCGTGAGTTTTTCAAAGTTATATTAATAAATGACAATGCACAATAAATCTCTTATATACACCATGTCTTGATTAAAATGAAAGTGCCCTGATTTTGTCACTTTGTGCTTTTAAATCACTCATTTTCATGTATAAAAGGATTTATTATCAAATTATTTATTATTAAATTAAATAGTGAGTTCAGTCTCTGTGTCTTCAGTCTCTGTAGTGGCTCATTTACCATCAGCTGATCCTGAGGAAACTGGACTGACATCGAAGTACTGAGAGTCCTACAATATAACACACAGACAGTCACATACGAGTATGAGACATTACTGCGGTCACATCACATCAGGAGATCCATTTTAGAAAAAAAAACACAGCCAGAGATATTAGTATATTCACATTATAGCCAGAGGCATGAATGAAAAACTGCTCAAATGATCAACAACTCTCTCTTTATCACTTACACACAGTGACACTGTAAGAGATTACATTTATATATAGATCAGTCATATCACAGAATTAAACTCTTATTAAACAGTTTGAAGTACAGAGACGGAAGTGGAGATTAATTATCTTAAATTCTGTAATTACACGAGGCCTTTTACTAAAATTGGATCAATATAAAAGCTTTAAATAAAAACATACTCACAATAGTATAGTTCCTCCAGTTTATAATGTGGATCACCTTTCAAATCAGAGAGAAACTTTACTTCAGATTGTCCTACTTTATTCCCAGTCAGATCCAGTACTCTCAGGTGAGAGGGGTTTGATCTCAGAGCTGAAGCCAGAGCAGCACAACCTTCATCTGTGACACCACAATAACACAACCTGTAGAGAACAATGACACAATTTGAATTGGTGTTCAAGTGAGCAGGAGAGGAGATATAATGAAAAGCATTGCGACATACTGCTGCTGACAGAATGAGATTTATGCATGTTGATGCTCAGTGGTGCTGTTTGAAACTGTCATGTGCTTCAGGACTGAACAGACACAAAAAGATGAAGGTGAGATAGTGACTGGAGACACAGTCACTTGCACCTCTAATACAAGCCTACAGGAGGACACTTCTGCTTCACGGGACCCACATGTTATGCATACATGTATACATATCTATGGTTAGAAATCCCGGTTGCTATAGAAACAGTCAGGGTTCAGAGACATGCGCTTAGGACTGCGCATGCGCACTGGCTGGTCTAGCCTGAATAATTAGCTTTTTTAATGCTATTTGAGCAAAAGAAACAACATTTATGAGACAGATTTTATTGGTGATTTCAAATATGAAATTTAATCATAAGCCTGGCGAACAGGTTTGGAGGATTTGACAATTCCCCATTCAAAGAGATAGGAGCTGCACTTGCATGTCCGAGAGGCGTTTCAAAGATGGCCGCAGGAGAAGGCGGCAAAATGCATTGCATTGCTCTCTTCACTTTTATATTTATGTTTTTGAACTGTTGGTTTTGTTTCCAAAGCTTCAGTGCATAACGACACTTGTGTCGGTCTTACAAATGTACTGCAAATGCTCTAAAGAACGCTGAAGGCGAACATAAATTAGATATACAGCTCTCTGCTTGCAGCGTGTCTATCATGCTCGTCAGGAAAGTAAATAATATGTCATTAATAGCAGTTCACTTTCGCGATTTGGTACGATTTCATTCATATCAGCAGCAAACCATACCAGAGTTCACATGAACCATACCCCAGACCACCCCTTTTAAGCGGACTCGGGTACGGTTCACGGGTGCGCACCCAAGTTCGGAAGACAGCATTCACATCATCCAAACTACCGAACTCTGACGTTAAAGGGGTCATATGATGCGATTTCAATTTTTCCTTTCTCTTTGGAGTGTTACAAGCTCTTGGTGCATAAAGAAGATCTGTAAAGTTGCAAAGACTAAAGTCTCAAATCCAAAGAGATATTCTTTATAAAAATTAAGAGTCAACCACGCCTACCTAAAACGGCTCGTTCTAACACGCCCCCACACCGGATCGGCTTTCACCGTGGATGAAGCGGAGTCCAGCCCGGGGTCGTCATGTGTGGTTGCCGCAAGCCCGCCGGACGCTCCTTCGTCGAATCCACCGGCCGCGCCGTTCTCAAGCCCGCCTGCCTCTGCTCACTCAAACCGGCCTCCGCATACTCTAGTCTGCCGGTCACTCAAGGCCGCGCGGTGGGTGACGCTGTTTTGTTGTGAAAGCGAAACTACTTTGTTTGGCCTTCCAAAAGAGGACACGACTAGAAATCAGTGGTTAAGTTGTGTTTACAACACTGTTCCAGAACAGTTTAACCCAAATATTCAGATGTGTGCTGCGCATTTTATGGAGGACTCTTTCCTGATCCTGGTAGAGTAGCCTACAATGCCGACTCACAGACTGCAAGTACATTTTTTATATTTAAAGGATTTGCCACTGATGATTCAAACGCGAGTTTTTTGGGCAGTGCAGAGTAGCACTTGTTGTTTGTCATTTCTCCGATAACAAATGCAGACATGGTTTTATGTTTACACGGTGCGATGCAACACAACGTGTAAAAAGTTAAGGTTTTTTTAACCTTAAACTGCATAAACATTTCATTACACCAAATTCACAAAATAATGTTATTTTTAGCAGCATCATATGACCCCTTTAATTAAACTAGAGTGCGCACCAAAAGTGCTAGTGTGAAAGAGAGATGATCTTACTCTAGCTTCTCCAGTTTACAGTGAGGATCCTCCAGTACAGCAGAGAGAAACTTCATGCTTGAATCTTGTAGTTTATTCCCAGACAGATTCAGTACTCTCAGGTGTGAGGGGTTTGATCTCAGAGCTGAAGCCAGAGCAGCACAACCATCATCTGTGACACCACAATCACTCAACCTGTAGAGAACAATGACACACTCTTCAGTCTCTCAGTTCTGATCAGGGCTGCGTTTCCCAAAACCATTGTTAGCGAACTATGGTCGTTAGTTCCATTGAATTCTATTAGCAACGACGGAACTTGCGACCATAGTTGCTTTCGGGAAAAGCACCCCAGATCAGTTTAGCAGTGAATCCATTATTACAGAGAAATTACAAACTTAAAACATTTACCATCTAAAGTCTCATTTAAGTGGGATTAAAAAATATTTCATAATTGCATTATGCATTATTATTTAAAAAGAGTCAGTGCAGAAAGATTAATATGATGAACATTAAAAATGTATCCAGCATGTTCTTCATTTCTCAGTTCTGACTGTGTTGAGCTTAAGTCAAGATATTGAAATTTTGATTTTGATGTCCAAGTATCTATTTCAGTGTGACTCAGTCCTGCAGTATCATATTACTGAGGAGCAGCTCATGTTTTCAGTCATTTACAGCTCAGTCAGCTGAACTCACAGCATCAGAAAGAGGCTGAACACTTCAAATATACTTTACATTGTGTTTCATGTGTGAGAGTCATATATGATCTTACCTTAGTATCTCCAATTTACAGTGAGGATCCTCCAGTACAGCAGAGAGCAAATTCACACTAGAACTCCCTAGTTTATTCCCAGTCAGATCCAGTTCTCTCATGTGTGAGGGATTTGATTTCAGAGCTGAAGCCAGAGCAGCACAACCTTCATCTGTGACACCACAATACATAAGCCTGTAGAAAACAATAACCGGTGCTTAATTTGTAAATCGGAAGGTAGCTCTGAAAAATAGTTCTGAAAGTTGTAGGGCTGAGCAACTCTTTACTGCCCTAGTACAACAGTAATCAAATAGAAATGTGGTCTCAGATAATTAACAGGAACTGAAACAGGTGTGTACCAATCAGAAACCATTGCAACTATTAAGCAAAGAGAACACAGGCAAACAGACACAGGGAAAACGAGACACAATGATAAAGAAACGTCTCGGTTACGTAGGTAATCTTGGTTCCCTGAATTGGGAACGAAACACTGGGAAGCCGTCACTATAGGAACACCTTCAGTGTGACGAATGTCTGAAGCCAGTAGAGCACCGCCCCAAGAATTACGTCACGTATGCTTCATATCAGCGTGCTACGTGCTATTTCATCAGATTTCTATGACGAAGGAAGCACTATTGAAGGTATGAGAACGGCCGACATTGCAGATGTTACATCCGTAACTGAGATGTTCCCTTTCATAGGTTCACTTCAACTCTGTGAAGCCATCGCTATGGGAACAATATACCATAACACCTGCACGTGAGGATAGCTGGAAGATCGAGGAAACAGTCCGCTCAAGCAGATAAACCTGGGTGCCAGGAGCCATCCTCACATCCAGACCGTAGAACTTGATAAAGGTGATCAGAGAGGACCATCATGCCGCAACATAAATATCTTCCAATGAAGAGCATTTTAAGAGAGCCTGAGAAGAAGCCATTCCTCTGGCAGAATGAACACACATACACCTAGAGGCGAAGCCATGTTACACGCCTCATAAGCCGCAGAGATAGCCTTGATCAACCAATTGAGACATCCTCTGTTTGGTGACAGCAGCTCCTTTGTTTTACCCTCAAAACATTCAGACGACAGGTAGATACACCACTGGACTGCGGGCATCTTCATCGGGCATAAATCACCCCAATCCCAAAGTTCCCAAAAAGCCTCAAAGACCTTAACCAGCCCCGGGCAAAGTCCATACAAGAAGGGCTGATTGAGCCTGCAGGTCCCCTCTTCTCTAAGAGAGAATAGAGCCACCAAAATGACCGTCTTAAAGGTCAAAAACTTTTCTGACACCACTAGCCATCAGCTCTGCCTTGGCCCTCCAGGCCTCCGGTGTCACCCTGGCTGTCCGTCTCTACGGCGTGAGGTCATTGCACATCGCTCGGTGGCAGATGCCGGTAAACTCCTCCACATAATCCTCCAAATATCGGCCACCTTGAAAAATAAAAATAACTCCTCCACATAGTCCCAGGCAGGGTCATGGTGCCACATAGATGTCAACGATTTCCATCTTACTTTTATTCTTTTAGGTTCGGTCTTCTGTCACGTTTCTGTGTAGTACAATCCAAATAAAGTGCACAAAGAAGAAGGTTCACAAAGAGTTTTAATAAACACATAGCAACACACTACACATTACCATAAAAGAGACAGAAGAACAGCTGCATCATCATCAAGCTGCTGACTTGATGATGCAAACGAACCGCGGCCCCTTTAAGGCAAGTCATTTCACTCGACAGCCATCTTTGAAACATCTCTCGGACATGCAACAGAAGAAACTCAAGGCTTAAATACACAGACTAGATAATTAATAGGAACTGAAACAGGTGCGTACTGCGTACTAATCATAAACCTTAGCAACTAATAAGCAAAGGGAACACAGGGAAAATGAGACACAATGACAAAGAAACAGAACTATACAGAACATAACTGTGACATATCCTACTGTTCAATCTATGAACTATTGCTTAAAAATGCATTGACTATATTATGTCTACATAAAATAGCAGTGTAAGCTTCCACCCTTACAGTTGTTCCAACAATATTGTTCCTCTGCATTATAGCCCTTTTTGTGTGAACAGGTCTTTAATTAAACTACCAGAAGCAACTGAAGCTTCAGTAAATGCTTAGTGAGTCAAAAACAGGAGCAGCAGGTCATGTGATGTGATGGAGATAAATGAAATTAACTTCATCTTCAGTTATCAGAGTACTTTGTGCTATCTTATTATTTTACAGAATTTAAAAGACACGCCTTACGGAGGACAAAGATGTGACTATGAGAGAGATGATCTTACCACAGTTTCTCCAGTTTACAGTGAGGATTCTTCAGTACAGCAGAGAGCAGATTCACTGAATTTCCTACTATATTCCCAGACAGATTCAGTTGTCTCAGGTGTGAGGGGTTTGATCTCAGAGCTGAAGCCAGAGAAGCACAACCTTCATCTGTAAGACCACAATTATACAACCTGTAGAGAACAATGACACACTCCCTCAGTTCAAATCAGATCAGTTTAGCAGTGAATCCAGAAAAAGTAGAAACTTAAAACACAAATCAATATATTTGATGGATCATTGGGCTGAGGTTTAAAATCTCACAAAGCACAAAATAAATAATATTTCTTAATAGCACTATTTTGATGCTAAATCTGTTTTAAATTACACTATTCACGATATAACTGAGCATCAGGTTGTGATGTGAACGTGTGTATTTCAGCTCATGTTTTCAGTTATTTACAGCTCAATCAGCTGAACTCTCAACAGCAGAAAGAGGCTGAACACTTCAAATATACTTTACATTGTGTTTCATGTGTGAGAGTCATATGTGAATATGTGAAGTGACATGTGGCCAAGTATGGTGACCCATACTCGGAATTTGTGCTCTGCATTTAACCCATCCAAGTGCACACACACAGTAGTGAACACACACACCCGAAGCAGTGGGCAGCCATGTGCTGCAGTGCCTGGGGAGCAGTTGGGGGTTCGGTGCCTTGCTCACGGGTCTCACCTCAGTCATGGTATTGAGGGTGGAAGAGAGCGCTGGTTATTCACTCCCCCCACCAACAATTCCTGCCGGACCTGAGACTCGAACCTGCAACCTTTGAGTTACAAGACTCTCTAACCATTAGGCCACCAAACCACTGCTGGCAAATATGATCTTACCTCAGTATCTCCAATTTACAGTGAGGATCCTCCAGTACAGCAGAGAGCAGACTCAACAAATTTCCTATTTTATTCAATGACAGATCCAGTACTCTCAGGTGTGAGGGGTTTGATCTCAGAGCTGAAGCCAGAGCAGCACAACCTTCATCTGTGACACCACAATAACTCAACCTGCAGAGAACAATGACACACTCTTCAGTCTCTCAGTTCTGATCAGATCAGTTTAGCAGCGAATCCATTATTGAAGAGAAATTACAAACTTAAGGACTGAGATCTAATGTCACAAAGAACAAAACATCTAAATATCACATATTTAGATCTGTACTAATATGTATGGAGTAATAATTTGCATCTAAAAAACAACTTGTTTATTGAACTGTTGTCTAAAATCAGTATTACATTTGCAATTGTGCTAATAGGCTATCTGAAAAAAAAAACAGCTCTCTCGGTCATGTTATATCTTGTTAAAAACTCCTTAGAGGGGAATATTTGCTCCCATATCTTGAATTTTGAGGCATTTCTATTAATTTTGGTGGCATTATTGCCCTTGCTCCTGTTAAATTCTGACCCTGGTTTTAAATCTTCACTTAGAAATCAGCTATCAGACTAACAGACCAAAAAATTACATAACCTAAATTTAACGATTACTCTGTGTAATTTGATGGAAATTTATCATATAATTGAAATGTGTAAGTCTTAACAGACAAATATTTTTGAGTGTAAACCTCAAATTGCAGAATAAACTGCTTAAACTCTCAGACTGAGTCAGCTTAACTGTACTTTACTGTTTTTATACAACGTGTCTATTCTATATCGATCACAAAATAATTTTTCAAGCACTGTGTGATTAGTCCAGTTCAGTATTTTCAGAAATTCTTCATAAATGTATATATTGCAAAAGATCATGTTGATTAATATATTTTTAGTGCATTTTCATGTCACAACATGTGGTCTGCTCAGAGTTCAGTTCAGTGTGAGCTGTGCGGCAACAATCGCCTCTCCAGAGTGAGGACGAGTCTAATATTAAAGAAGGCTTAAAAAGCTTGTGTTGATCTATCATTCACAGCCCATAGGTGAGGAATGGAAACCCTGGAGTAGAGCTGGAGCAGCAGAGTCATTACAGAATGCATTCAGCACAAATTGGAATCCACTCCGCACATATACAGTACTCTGCCTGACAGAAGGACACTTCCGCCCATGAAGGCAAAGGGCCAGTGGCTCGGGCCCCGTAGCCACCCCACTATTCTCTGGTGATAAACATACACAAAGAATAAATCCAGCATGTTCTTCATCTCTCAGGGTTTGAGTCTGTTGGTCAAGAGAGGCAGCTCATGTTTTCAGTCATTTGCAGCTCAATCAGCTGAACTCTCAGCAGCAGAAAAAGGCTGAACACTTCAAATATACTTTACATTGTGTTTCAGTCATATATGATCTTACCACAGTTTCTCCAGTTTACAGTGAGGATCTTCCAGGACAGCAGAGAGGGATGTCAAGGCTGAATCTTTTATTTTATTCCCAGACAGATCCAAATCTCTCAGGTGAGAGGGGTTTGATCTCAGAGCTGAAGCCAGAGCAGCACAACCTTCATCTGTGACACCACAACACCTCAACCTGCAGAGAGATGAAAATATTTCAACACTATCAAATAGCTATTAAAAAAACAATATAATATTAATACTGCAGTAAACAACTACTTGCAATTCCAATATAATTTATTCATATCATGACAAGGTCAAAGTGTAAGCACATGTATTTCCAAATTTTAATGTAAATCTAATGTTCAAATAAAAATTAACAAATAAAAACAACTTTATTGAATTCCATCAAAATTCATGTATTAAATCATTTTTAACTTGTATAAAACCTGCATGTTGGACTGTAAACTGGCAGAGAAATCATGTGCTCTAATGTGAGTCCAGCTCCTGTCTTGCCCCCTTCTCTGAATTGTCAAAATAAAGCTCCAAGTAGATGTGGTTTACAGCGATTTTACAACAGCTAAGGGGTTTTTGTTAGACATGATGTAACACGTAGTTAAACATCCATACACAATGATGAATCAAAAATCAAATTTTAATCTACAAGGCTCTCTGAAATACTTGATTCTGATTGGTCAGTCTTGACATTTCCGATGTCTGATACTTCCATACTTGAATATTTCATGTCCATGTACTTATTTATTTGGTGAAAAGGCCAATATGACTGTACATGATCCTTTAATTAAGAACTACCTTGCATATTTAAATTGTTGTCTTCAAAAGTGTAAGTTTCAAGTTTGCTGCCAAAAGAAATTTGAGCTACTATCAGCTGTTTCTCCACTTGTTTGGTTAGTCTTATTTCTTCTTGGTCTATTATGCCAGTGATTCACAATTCAAATATTTAAATTCCTTTTCTATTTGCAAAAACATTTTTAATATCTGTTAAACCTGAATTATTTATTCATATGCAACTTCTCTGACTTTGAATGTCTAATTTTTTTTTTTTTTTACAGTGTCACTGATTAGAAACACATCAAAATACTGACCACTAAACTCTACACAACATCTGCAGCGCTGAAGATTCATGAACTTTTAACTTTGATTTTCTTAATGTTTTAACAGCGAATTGATTGTTCTCAATGATACTTACTGAACTGATCTGGATTCTTTAATCACAGGCAGCAGCTTCTGAAAAACTTCCAGTTTTTCGGTTTCATTGTTTCCTTCAACAAACTTATTAATATCAAACTCATCCAGCTTCTTCTCTGATGTCAACAGCACAAAAGCTACGGCAGACCACTGAGATGAAGAGAGTTTGGCTCCCTTTATTGTTCCAGATTTCAGATACTGTTGTATTTCCTCCACTAGTGAATGATCACCCAGTTCATTCAGACAGTGGAACAGATTGATGAATTTCTCTGGAGAGTCAATGGTCCTGATCTTCTTCTTGATGTACACAGCTGTTTTTTTATTGCTGTCAGAGCTGCTTCTCGTCTGTGTCATTAGTCCTTGTAGGAGATTTTGATGAGACTCCACTGACAGACCCAGAAGAAACCGCAGGAAAAGGTCCAGGTGTCCATTTTTATTCTGTAGAGCCTCATCCACAGCTCTCTCGTGCAGCTCAGATAATAAATTATTCTGAAACCAATTCAAAACTTTCGATAGTGGTCTTTGTTTGGTGCTTGGATCAAACACATTTGTGTTGTTGTTTATACAGGAAAGGTGCACGTATAGAGCAGCTAGATGCTCCTGAACGCTCAGATGAACAAAGCAGAAGACTTTCCCTTGATACAAGCCAAACTCCTCTCTGAAGATCTGAGAGCACAATCCGGAGTAAACTAATGCTTCTGTTACATCAATGTCACACTCTCTCAGGTCTTCCTCATAGAAGATCACATTGCCTTTCACAAGCTGCTGAAAAGCCACTTTCCCCAGTTTGAGAATCATGTCTTCATCTTTCACTGTCTTCTCATAGTCCTTCTCATGTTTGATGTTGGTCTGAAGGATCAGGAAGTGTGTGTACATTTGACTGAGAGTCTTGGGAATATCTCCACTCTCTGCTTCGCTCAACATCTTCTCTAGAACAGTGGCTGAGATCCAGCAGAACACTGGGATGTGGCACATGATGTAGAGGCTTCTTGACGACTTCAGGTGTGAGATGATTCTATTGGCCAGACTCTGATCACTGATTCTCTTCCTGAAGTATTCCTCCTTCTGTGGCTCATTGAAGCCTCGTACCTCTGTCACTCGATGGACACACTCAGAGGGGACGAGATCAGCTGCTGCTGGTCTGGAGGTGATCCAGATGAGAGCAGAGGGAAGCAGATTCCCCACAATGAGGTTTGTCAGCAGCACGTCCACTGAGGCTGATTCACTTACATCACACAACCTCACATCGCTGTGAAAATCCAGAGACAGACGACATTCGTCCAGTCCATCAAAGATGAACAACACTTTATATTTATCACTGGATATTTCTATTTCTTTTGATTCAGTGAAAAAGGTATGAAGAAGATCTGAAAGACTGAGTGTTTTGTCCTTCACCAGATTGATCTCTCTGAAAGGAAGTGGGAATATGAGCTGGACGTCCTGATTCTCTT